CTCTCTCTCTCTCTCTCTCTCTCTCATCCGTTTTCTCAGTTGGTTACATTCTGGACTACAATACAAGTGGTCCTGTGGGTGGTTGGCAGGTGCTCTGGTGTAGTTTGCTCCTTCTTTCCTATCGAACATCTATCGTCCTGACCTCTCCTCCTTCTGTTTTATGTTTGTTACTCTCTTGTAACTCTTCTAAGGTTGGCGGGTGCTCTGGTGTGGTTTGCTTCTTCTTTCCTATCAAACATCTATCGTCCTTATCTCCCTTTTTTCTTTTTTTTTATGTTTGTTACTCTCTTGTAACACCTCTAATCTTCTGGAGCTCATATAACCTTATGCAGTTGCGAGCGCCGTAATACCTCTACTAAAACTAACTAAACTAACTCTTCTAATCTTCTACACGTATTTGACCTTATTGTGTTGCAAGTGCTGTAAAACTCTTACTTAAAAAACAACAACCACTTACTAAAACAAAGCAAGTGGCCCTGGTTCGACAGCATGTATTTCCCTCGATCTTCTTGAACTTCCGTTATTTGTGAGGCAGCGTGGTGGAATCAGGCTCTCATCCAAATAATCAAAGTGAAGAAACTTGCATTTTTCCGCAGGTTTGTGAATTTTTATCAACTTTTTGTTTTTTTGGCTCAACACCTTTCATGCCCATTAAAGAACTCATTTTTGTGTTGATTTTTCTGAAAAGCGTTAATTAACGGCAAAAAAATGTAAATTTTCCGTTACCACGGACTCTTAAGTCAAGGAAATAAATAAATTTTGGAGGCCATTTTCTCACTAATTTTACCTCTGAAAACAGGTGACCCCCACCTCTTTCTTTCGCAAATATCTCGCTTGTTTTCAAGATAAATGGATATTTTTTCCTTCCAAATAAAGACAAGTGAACAAGCTTTAAGACGATACCTATAACTCTACATGCCCAAAAATTGACGAGAGCCTGATTCCACCACGCTGCCTCACATTTCAGTAGTTTTAACTCTTTCTCCACTCACCGCCATTGTCCTATTTTGGAGATAAACTTTTCATTGGAGATCTTGCATCTTTAACAACCATTTTATTTCACTGAGAGAGGCTTCAAACGCAAACCATTCTAAACTAAGTATATGTTCGTGAACTTGTACAATGTGAAGACGTAATTTTATTTTGAGTCTGACTCTTATTTTATCGTCTACTTGCTGCATTCCAAGACCTTGAATGAGAGAGATACAACGTCCCAGCTAACAGAGGAAGGAACTCATTTTTTAAAAGTCCCCTTACTACACGATTTGAGCTCACATGTTTGTTTTCAGTTTAGGGGGTGCCTACATACGCGATCGAGTCGGGCGATCGGCTCGATCCTGTCGTAGTGGGCAACCCCGAAAACAAACACGTTTGTTTTTGAGACGATCGAGTCGGGCGATCTCAGCGTAGTGGGCACCCCGTATTACTGTCAGAAAACAGATCTACCGCTGCATTCATCTTAGGTAACTAACTCGCAACTCTTGCGTACAATGAAAAGGATCCCAACCCCTAGGGAAAGTTGTCCTCCACCAACCTGTCAGTGTTTTAGCTTTAGTAAGAGTTTTATGGCACTTGATGCACAATTATTAGGTCATATCAGTGCCGAAGATTAGCGGTGTTGCGAGAGAGTAAAAAACACAAAAGGGGGAGGGGGCGGGGGAGGGAGGAGAGAGATAGGGACGATAGGTGTTTGAAAGAAGAGAAGCCGCGAACCATACCTGAGCACACTCCAACAACTCACTCACATCTCTCGCATGCAATATCGAGGATCTAACTATTACTATCACTATCATAATATCACAAACATGGTATCCGCTACAACTCCTGGGAAAGTTGTCCTTAATTATAGTAAGAGTTTTACGTCACTTGCAATACAAATATAGGTCTCTCACTACATATTATATGTGCCGAAGATCAAAGGTGTTACTGGTTAATAATAATAATAATAATAATAATAATAATAATAATAATAATAATAATAATAATAATAATAATAATAATAATAATAATACATTTATAGCGCATTTCCAAAAGAAGTAGCTCAATGCGCTTTACATTGGAATACCCATTTTCAAAACTTTTCTTACTACCTCCTTTCTTCTCATGCAATATATATTAATTTATGCACACACACACACACACACACACACACACACACACACACACACACACACACACACACACACACACACACACACACACACACACACACACACACACACACATACGCACACACACACTGGTAAATAACAAAGTAAAGAAGATGGAGATATAAAAAGGTTGATGTTTGATAGACAGGAAGTAGCACACCCCACCAGAGCACCCGCCAACCAACCACTGTCAATGTTGAAGGGCCGTAAAAGGGCTACTGTGGCTGCCGTTGGCCTCTTTGCCCTGGAAAAAAAAGACTGCTTGCTGTTTCTAATAAATCTAATGCTGCGTGCCCCATTTGCACTGAAAAAGTGCTGCTGCTTTTGTTGCTGACCTTTAGCCCTAAAAAAAATGCTGTTGCTCCTAATGTTTTGCCCCTGTGCCACAAAGGGGCTGCTCCTTCAGCTGGGACCGTTGGCCCTTTAAAGGGGCTAATGCTGCAGCTGAGACCTTGGCCCTGAAAAAAGGGCTATTTGAGACCTTTGCCCTTGAAAAAGGGGCTGCTTCACTTGATGCTGCTGGCTCCTCAGCCCTGAAAAAGTGCAGCTACTGTTTGGCTTCTGCCGCTACTGCGGCGTGCAGCTGCTAGTTCTACCTGTGCTGCTGGGAGCTGCTGCTAACCCCTTTGCGCTGAAGAGTCTCTTTAGCCCTGATAAAGAGCTGTTACTGCAGCTGCTGCTGCCTCTTTAGCCCCTAAAAGAGCCTCTGCTACTACTGATGTAGCCCCAAAAAAGGGGACTGCTGCTGATGATGGTTCCGCTTTGCTGCAGCCTGCTGTTGCTTTAGTCTTTAAAAAGGGCTGACTGCTGTTGCTGCTGCTATCGCTACTGCTACGTAACCCTAAAAAGGGCTGCTGCTCCCGCTGCTGCTGCTACAGTTACTGCTGTACCCCTTAAAAAGGGTTGCTGCTGCTGTGGGTTTTCGCTTTAGCCCTAAAAAAGGGCCGCTGCTGCCGCCGCCGCTGCTGCTGTCGCCGCTACTGCGTGTTTCGCCTTAGCCCTAAAAAAGGGCTGCTGCCGCTGCTGCTGCTATCTCCTCGGCCCTTTTGCTACTGCACTTACAAGAAGTGTTATTCCTCAGGAGGGCTGTTGCCTTTTAGCCCTTTAGCCCACAGAAAGGTTTTAGTTTCCCTACTTACCCGTGGTTGCCTCCAGTAGAGGATTTGTTTCCATATCTTCTTTGTTGCCCTCGGAAAAAACTTTTAGTTTTTTGTGGTCGATCCACGAGGTTCGCCGATGACCCCCCAACGTCGGTTTCCGAGCCCTATATAACGGTTTTGCGCGGACTTCTGAGGAAGCAAACCTTTCACGCGCAAGCATGATCTTTTCGGAAATTCCGCGCATCTGTGTACTGTAGTTATCCACTGCCGAACTAACAAACACACTCATATTTTTAAAATGCATGTAGATCTAGATCTATATTCTATATACAGAGCGTAGGGTATTGAATTTCCTCCGAACAAAATACTGTCTATGTCTGAGCTGTGCCAAGTACACATTTTCTCTACTTTTTCTTCTTCATGTGCCAGGTCTGGAGCAGACAATAACGAGCATGGTACACCTTCCTTTCCAGTTGTCCGTCTTGATCAGTTATCGGGTTTTCTCTTTGGACGTTGCAAAGTTGATCCGGCCGTCTGTGTATGTGTGTGTGTGTGTGCGGTAGCCTATCCGTTCGAAATATTTGGAGCCCCGAAGAGCGTGCTCTTCGCCAGGGTCACCGCCTCCCTTGGGTAGCGGGTGAGGCAGTCCAACCTCTCTGAATCCCCCCCCCCCCCCCCCCCCCCGAAGAGATGCCACCGCCGGGCCTCCGTGGCAGGGCATCTCTGCAGCCAGTGCTCCAAATCTTGGGGCTCCTCACTGCACAATGGACAGGTTGGGTCCGATGTTCTGTCTATTCTATTTTTGTAGGCCCGCAGCCCAGAGAAGTGACCGGTCCTGATTTTTGCCAGTAATGACTGGTCACTGCGGGACATAATAAGAGCCTCTCTTTTTAAGGAAAATGCCCTGTATATTTCCTCCGTCCGCGTGTGGCATATAGGGGGGTCTTTTGTAATTAGTTTTATCTGTGTATGTTGTTCTTTGTCTTCCTCTGCTCTCCTTTCCCTCTTGTTTCCCCACAGCAGCATGTGCAGTTTCTCAAGTCCATTTATTTAATCTCAGTAGTCTTTTTTCTGATGGTTCTGATTATGGGTCTTCTTTCACATCCTGACATTTTGGAGCCCTTCGACCTCTGTTTGTTTTCCTCTCTGTCCATGAGATTCTGAGTCATCTCGTTAAATATCACATTTCAGCGGCCTCCAGTCTTCTCCCTATGTCTTTCTCTAAGAGTCCAGCTCTCGTGTCCATACAAAAGGATTGATCAAACCTACGCTGTCGGGGTTATTTTTTGTTGTTGTTGTGCGTTCACTGTTATGTGTTTCTATTTGAGAGGATAGGTTTTACCTTGCTGAAAGTACCATGTAAAGTCTTTTCCCTCAGTTTAACAACGATGGTCCTGTCATTGCCTGTCCATAAACCCCTTTTCACTGGAGAGTCATAATACAAAGGTGTTCCGGTATAGTTCTGTAAACATGCACTTTGATCGCTGTTTCACTGATTCTATCTGTCGTGCTGTTCCTTTGGATCAATCAGCGTTGTTGAGAAGAAAGGAAATGGGTACATGTACTTGGAACTGTAGACACCTTGACTTAGAGAAGCATATCCAGATTTGCTTTACAGTGTCGAAGTGACACGGGAACCAGCACTTTACCGGTTTTAAGCCATCCCTCGATTGACGTAGAGTGTTGCTCCAGACACGTGCTGTTTCTGTCGTCGGAATTTAAGGGATTTTCAGTCGTTTTCAGAATCCCCTACAATGGACAGCAAACGTATTGCTCAAGCTGGGCAGACCCCAGCCTATTAATAAAGTAGGATGTTGTTCCGCCACGGCCTGGTGTCTTTGTGTGCTTGGGGATTTTGTTCTTCTACTGTTTAGATCTATAATTTTAAGGGATGATGATCATCATCATCATTGCCTTTCTCACCCTGCACCAAGGTGTAGGCCACGGACAAACACTCTCCACTTTTCTCTATCCTGGGCTATCCTCTTGATGTTATTCCATGTCTTCCCACTTTTCTGTACATCGATTTCTGTGATTCTTCTCCAGGTTCCACGAGGTCTTCCCCTTGATCTCTTGCCCTGTGGGTTCCAATCCAAAACTTTCTTTGTTATGCAGCTGCCTGACTTCCTGAGAGCATGTCCAATCCATCGCCACCGCCTTAATTCTTCCTACCTCATCTCTGAGGGATGATAATCAATAGCATTTCATGGCATGAAATAGTTTGGTTGCCGACCGAGCGCTTTTAGTGCACAGTGTGGAGATGATGTTGGACACATTTAGCTGTGAACTATGCGTCATTTGTACAGCCGACGATGGTTTGCAAATCTTGCGTAAGATATAATGGTTTATAATATGTGTCTGTCTTTTGTTACAATGACCAATGACAATTGTTATTGTTTTCAACTTGTCACGAGGTTGACCCCCCAAAAGTCATATTATGTAGGCTAGGCTAGTTGGGTAGCCTAAGTATCATTTCAGCCCCAACTGTATAGCACTAATTAGCACAGGGACATAGGCGCTTATCCTTACCCTAATCGAAGAAGGTCAAGTTATAAAAATGGGGTGGGGGCGGGGGGCAATAGTAATAGCAAACTGTTATTTATGAACTTTCAATATAAGATGCTGAAAACTACCACTTTTATCCTGATTTGTATGGTCAAACTACTGCTAATTCCGAGGGCCGAAAAATACGAATTAATTTTGAAAAAAAAACTCTCCCGTTGGGGCGTTTGAGCTAGTCAAACTGTGCCTATAAGGGTAAACAGAACAAATAGCATTTCCTTGAGATGTGATTAAAGAATGCAACCCCAAAAAATAAGAAGATGGGAACTACGAACTATATGACGTACGAAAACACGAAGCTTGTCTTAGACTAAAATTGACTTTGGAATAGAAAGAGTTAATCAAGCTGCCGCTTTGAAAATGGCTGTTTGGGCCCACTATATTTTTGGAAATTTAACACCAAGTTGTCATATGTGCCTGTTTACTCTGTCATCATTTTCTTTCTTAAAAGTTAATTTGTAATTTACTGGGAGAGATAGATCACATTTGTTTGTTTTTTTAGAGGTAGGCCGAAGCAATTTAATACAAGAACAAACTATCGAAATTGTGCTCGTTGAAAAAACCTGGCTAATACAGATGATTGTTTGGGTTGTGTGCAGGATAAAGGAACACCGTGTGTTGTCGACCGAGGCTTTGGTTGGCGAAGCAGTAGATTCTAGTACAGAAAATACTACTGTAGGCAACACTTTTTTTCCATTTTGAAAGTTATTTTTTCCATTATATAACAAAATGGGGAGCAAGAAACACAAGAAGCATAAGTCCGACAACAAGCCCAGCATCGACCAAGACGGTGAGCACAATAATATGACGCGAACTCCGTCGAAGTCGAGTTTTCGGCGATTTTGAAGTTCCGTTCGTTAAAGTCAAGAGTAGGAGGGCTGACCTAATAAAAAATACGAAGGTGGGGGATGCCCCCCTGAATTTTATCCTAATTTGATGTTTTGCATCCCTGCTCTTTTTGTAGCCTAATTCAAATAGTATTTGGTCTTCAAGACTTCTGGATTTCTTCTCTGGATGTAAACAAATGGATCGTGGACTTAAACCCTCATCCTGCGGGAGCCGGGTTTATGTAGCCCGATAAGCCTATTTCGGCACCTCGCCTGCGTTCTGGTCCCGAGTCAGTGTAGCTCCTGGCTCAGCGCACGCGCAGCGCGCAGCGCGCATCCTCTTACGTGTCATTCGGGTCCCAAGTCGGATCCCCATTCACGCAGGTCAAGTGTGTGTGCTTCAGTCTGCTTGAGTTTGTGTGCGTTTGTGGCCTTCTTCTAGAACCACCTGCGTTGGTTCGTAATCGAGGCATACGTCTCATTCAAAACATGCCAAGTTGATAGCTCTAGATGTTCGTCCAATGAAATTATAGAAGAAATTGACCCACTTAGACATGAGGAGCTCGAAAGGTCGATAGTCAGGAAACAAGACTTCCATTTTTCTATACAAAATATTTCAAATGAGCTTGATTTTGTATGAAATGATACTACCTGATAAAAAATGAGCTTGTTTAATAGTTTTGAATACCCTTGTGCAGGTACAAAGAACAATTTGAGTGTAAAACATTCGGAAATTGACCTAAATTATCCCTTTTCGAACCTCAGGTCATTCTCATAACAACAAGAGCGTCCAGAAAGGTTATTCAAATGGGCGTAACTACTCGTAATGTCTTATCAGCTTGTGAGAGGGGGTTATTCATGTGTTTGTAACACTTTATAAATAGAATGCTATGAAGGATAGAGCGTTATTTTCATCATCAGTTAACACACTCCCGCGGTATTCATGGCGAAAACACACGTTTCCCGGCGCGCGCGCTGTACACCAACAGTACACACTGAGTGACCCCGGCGGCCTGCCCGGCGAGTCCGACGTAATCGGTTGCTGATAAGATACGCATCTGGGCACAGACGCAGGATAAGAGTTAACGAACGGAACTACAAGATCACCGAGTTTTCTTTTATAAAAGAATTTAGATTCGGACTCGAGTCCCAATATGAAAAAATGTTATTCGGACTCTGATTCTTGTCCAGCATGACATCACTTTCGACTTCCTGTGACTCGTGACTCCTGCTTCCTGTCCTGCCTCACTCGTGACTCGCCTCAGGCCGGGTAGAGACCGGGATCACTTCGGGCAAAATGGCGTTAAATTGTGCCTGAGCCGAGTTTTTATCTTATGATGAATTTGAGGCCCGCCTGAATCGTTAGAGCGCTTCTAATAAATGTTTATTTGTCAAGAGGTCATCAGAAGCAATTAAAGATGGCTCGTTAGCGTGTGTCGGGGTTGGATGGGCGGCGTGCACACGTGTGGCTGTGTGTGTACGTGTCGGGGAAGGGGGGGGAGAGCGCTATCGGTCCGGGCATTGAACGTCGCATACGCATCAGTCCCCCCCCCCCCGCAACTGATCATTATTACAATAATAGTCTTGACGTAGAACTACGTAATGAATTGTGCGCTGGTCTATGGAATCAAAAGTTGCCGTATGCTCGGCTCTACACAGCAACACAACTTTTTCTTGGTAAACAATCGAGACGACACAGGCTTGTGTATTTTAACGAATTGGTCTTTTATTTTTACACAGAGCTCATAATATGCAGGTGCCAGGAGATCTGCTAATCTTCAATTTTACCTTTTTCTACAACAAAGAAAGTGGGAAACATGGGGGGGTGGGAGGGGCGTATCAATGAGGCGGCGGGCATCGGATCAGCAGACAAGGTGTGGGGGAAACTAAAAAATGGCGGAAAATTGGAAGCACTGAACGTTAGATCTATAGAACGAAGACACTTCCTTTTTTGGACCCGTGTCCAAATAACATTTTTTCTTATTCGGACTCGAGTCCGAATATGAAATTTTTTTATTCGGACTGGAGTCCGAATAGGAAAAAATGTTATTCGGACTCGAGTCCATAGTAAAACATGACGTACGGATAGGGTAAAATACATTATATAAGATCATGTAAGACATCTCTACCTCTGTCTAGGGCAACCACTTTTCTCCTCGACAATGGCTGGCTGTCTCAGACAATTTGAGCTGTATTTCTTTGTGTGGTACATTAAAGGGTGTGCAGTAGGCAGTAACAAATAGCAAGATCGATAGAAAAAAAATTCCGTCTTGGACATTTGCCGTCTTGGACCAAGGGAATTTGGGGGGTTGAGGGTCCTGATAGTCGGTATTCTTTGGGGGAAAAAATTTCAATTATTCAGGCAACGGGCTTTCAGGTTGCGAAGGCTTCTGTCTTAGATGGATATATTTTATAGAGATATTTATCAAGGGGAGATTCCCTGTTGATATGTTTTTGTATTGGACAGGTTGCCATTAAGACAGGTTTCACTGTACAGTACAGTCAAAATTGTCCAAGACGGCCACACCTTGTCAAGGAGAAAAATGGTTGTCTTAAACATGTTTACGTCTTTCTCTGTGTCATTATAATATATAAGGAAAAAAATCAGTTACGGGGAAGTGGGAAGTGGTTGCTTGTACAGGCTACTATCTTTGACAGGTTCTTCTGTATTTGTCATCCTTTTTACTTTGAATACAGTTACTTTTCCAGCTCACACTATAAACTATTGCTGATTTGCTTCTCCATGTACAGATGGCTCTCAAGAAAAACCTCTGAAACTAGTTCTGAATTTGAAAGTAGGAGGTGGATCAAGTCAAGAATCTCTGCCAGATGCAGCTGGTTCCCCACAAACTGAGGAGCGGAGACATAAACACAAGAAAAAGAAGAAAAAGAAATCAAGCGACAAGGATAGAGAGAGGAGCAAATATGCTGAAGAAGTAAGAACTTCAAAGGCATATTTTTAGAATAAGTGCTGTCTGTTTTTTACATCAGAAAACAACTGTGGTTGTTCTCAAATAGAAAAAAATCTTTGTTTTGATTGCTTCTGTAATGTGTTCTTTGGGTATTAGCAATGAGCATATTTAGAGTTACGTTAATGTATTGTACATATAGTTTGAATTTCAGTTTGATGGAATTGAAATATAACGTGTACTTGAAGACCTTGGGTGGTTTGGATGGGATTTTTCAGAGATGTATAATCGTTGGATACGTGTTTTGTAAAGTTCTTTTAGAGTTGAATGCGGAATACACAGAAGAATGAGTGATTGTATGAGGGTCAGTGAAATAATGACAAGAGTTGTGCTCATCTTGAAAAGTCAGGTAATGTCCTTGGTCAGTTAAATTACATTGTGATCTTCACTGCATTTGTATTGTCTGCACTGGCTCAGAGTATCGTTTCTCTCTCGATGGAATAAATCTGAACATGAAAATTAATATTAATCTGTACAAAATGGACACTCAAACTTTTTGCCTCATTTACAGAGTTCATCACTGAAGCGACCACATGAAGATAATGAAAGTGGAGATGATGACGAAGAAGAAGTTGAAAAAGAAGAAACATCACATCAATATAATGAGATGGAAGAGGATTCCGATGGCAACTCATCACCAAGCAGAAAATTTCGGGAGCCTCGAATGTGCACCATTCGAGACAATGATGGGGCCATATTGAAACAAATGTTGAATTATCTTCTTAAAAATTTGCAGAAGTAAGATTTTCTTGATTATCAGATAACCTAAAGTATGAAATTTATTCCACTCTACTGCAGATTTCCCATGTTGCCATTTGTAGGCCCACCTTGAACTTTCTCTTCCTTAGGTTTTTAAACGATTGCTATAAACATTTTTTTAGAATCAACTTTGAAGTTTATCGAGAAAGAATTGGGGATCTTTGTTCTGTCCCTGGGGCTTCCCACTTGCACACTAATACATTTTTCTTAGGTAAATACAAGTGCTTTAGAAATACACCTACTTGATAAAAATCCCTTCCTTGAATTTGCAAAATAACCCAAGCTGGTAAATGTCTCCCCTAATATATTCTTCTTCTTGTCTCTTAATTATTTCCTAATGCAATGTAAGAAGATTGTTTTTTAAAAACTTCATTTTTTGTTGTTGCTTTACTGCATCCTAAGCAGAAGAGGAATTTTATTGTTCGTTTTAGTTTTGGTTATAGTTTTTGGAAATTTAAAAATCTATATTGTTTATTCTTACATCTGAGAAAAATGTGCTTTCAGCTTTTGACAAGTGAAAATGTATTAGTGGTACGATGAATGTGCTTTGTAAATTTATTTTCTATCTGATATAAAAAAAATTTGGGTGCCATAACTTAATGTAGACATTTTACATCATACTCAGAGTTCTTTGGAATGGGAAGGGCATGAAGAAAAAGAGGAAATTTTCTTCACTTACATGTAGAGTTACTTATACCCCTGTTTTCTCTCTTACAACTTTCAGCAAAGATGTGAATGGTTTCTTTGCCTTTCCTGTGACAGACAGCATAGCTCCGGGCTACTCAAGTATCATCCTATGCCCCATGGACTTCAGCACTATGGCTGCTAAAATTGAGGCTGCTGAGTACTTTAATGTCATGGAGTTTAAGGTTAGTCTGTCCAAATGGAATGCACATATTGTAGGAAAATTGTGCTGAAATGTGATTAGTCATTTTAATATTTAATTTATTTTCATTGCTATATATTAGGGGTTTAGGAAATGAAAAAACCCCGAAAAAGTTGCTTTTTGAAAAAGACTCTTTTTGATCTGTGTAAAGAATGCAAATTTGTACCTTCTGTATGACTTTTTCCATATATAACGGGCAGCAGTCCACAGTCACATACATTTGAGCCATTCTCATTTGCTTTTTGGTTTGTGATCTCCTGTTCTGAAAGTATGGCGCACTTTTTTTTTCACCGGGGTAATACAAAGGTGGCCCCTCAAAACATGAGGGCTTGTCAGTCATACTTTCAGTTGTTTATTCTGCCGGTGTGGTGAATAAAAAGGTACTGCTGGAGAGAGATTTGAATTCTTTTCTCTGTTCTGTTATTGCATGATCATATACCCTTAATATGTTTCTTTTCTTTTTTAACAATTTTTTTTTCTTAAATAGAAAGACTTCATTCTGATGTGCAACAATGCCATGACATACAATCGACCAGATACGATATACTACAAGGAAGCAAAAAGATTGCTTCATCTGGGAATCAAGCAGCTAAGCAAGGTATGATCTCAGGGTTCAGATGTACTCAGGTTGCTCAAGAGTTCTTTTTAAGAAATTTCCTTGCAGCCGGATGTGCTTGTCCATCTTGCCTTTTCTCTGCTCTAAACAACTTTTATCATTTTAACATGCTTTGTACTCTAGTTTTTACAAGAAAGACAAACTGCTGTCATTATTGCTAAACTATTCGTTCGGGGATGCATTAAGGTTGGACTTTATCTGCAGACAGGATAACAAAACATTTGACTGTAGGGGATATGATCATTGCTGTTTGTTGATTCTCCCTCTGAGACCTGGCATCTAGGACGAGCTCTGTGAGACGACACAGCACACACCACTTCATAGCATCTAACCACATGGGGGGATACTCTATACATTGCTGGTTTTATAACAGTGACTATCTTGTTTTTAATGCTGATATGCCTGTGTCTAGTAACTATCTGGGAAGTGGTGTGTACAGCTGCAGACGTGTTTGTTTCCAGACATTTTAGCACAAAGAGACACACAAAAAAGTATTTTTTCGCCACTCAGAACCAGATGTCAGAATAAATAGTTTTTAGTTTTAATTTAGTTTTAGTAGAGGTTTTACGGCACTCGCAACTGCATAAGGTCATATAAGCGCCAGAAGATTAAAAGTGTTACAAGAGAGTAACAATCATAAAAAAGAAATAGGGGAGATAAGGACGATAGATGTTTCATAGGAAAGAAGAAGCAGACCACACCAGAGCACCTGCCAACCACCCACGTAAATAGTTTGCAGACACTTGAGAGAAAGATCTCGGTCCATAACATGCCTTTCTAAGATTTTGTTTATAGAATTTTATCTCGGTTTTATACAAATCAGCATAATTTTACTTTCATGTTTGAATCTGCTTCAGGGATAGCGTAGCAGTGAGGTGCTAAAGCAGAGTTCACTGTCAATGTTTGAGTAACCACATTTGTGTAAATTTTTGATTCATTAAACATATTAATGGAAGATCCTACTTGTACAGTAATTGGGCTTGTTTGTAGAAATAGTTTAGTCTTTCAGGGGAACTCTTGCTGGTTATGGTATTTTGGCAATTTGGCTTATGCATATAAAATACTTGAAAGTTTCTTCGCTAACATTTTAGATTGTTTGAAATGGCTTACTTTCTTATTTTTTCTGCCATGCACAACAAATTTCTATCTCAAGCTCCGTATTTTTCTCAGGAAAAATTGTTGTATCTGAAGAAGACTCAGAGCTTTTTGACCAGTATCACTTTACAAGAGCTGGGTTTTGATGAAAGCGGTCACATTATGGAACCCAGTTCCGTTCCACCAGTGGAAGAAGCCAAGGACAAGCTGAAAGATGAACCCAGGTAAGAGAAGAAACAAAACGTTGTGGGTACCATCTGTACGCAATTTTCCAGGATTATCTATTATGTATTTGTGGTGGCCGAATTTTGCTATTCAAAAGGCTTTTTAATGGCTGCATCGATCGACATGCGGTTTTCGCCGAAAGATTCTTTAAAATATTCTCCAGATCATGACGCCCTTCGTTTTTTCAGTTTTGAGACAGTTTTGCTGCAAAAAGCTAAATTTCTTTATTTCGCCAATTGCTTTTGTAGGCCGACGCTTCTGTCTTTAGAAAATCTGCCAGGTTTGTTTATTTCAAGTCGTACTTCCGTTCGATACTATCGCGCATTGTCTCGCAATACTGAGCACTTTTAAGTGTGCAACCCGTATAGATCTAGCCTCATGTTTTCTTTTTTCTTTTTACTTGGTGCTAAATTCGACTGTGATACTTTCGTTTGATGCCCATCATCGTTTTTTTCTGGACTCCTTTGTCAAATTCTTTTTCTTGCTACTGGAAACAATCAACACGCTTCTCTGTACAACCGCAAAAGCGGAATAGAGGATCTATGCATCTATTATATATTTGGCAACTTGGAAAAACATGTGTCACTTTTCTCTCAAGGTTTATTGCTCCATTCCAGTAGAGTGTAAATATAGTAGACCAATGATATTCAGTTGATGATAATGCATCGATCATTCCTTTCATCGAAAGGGGGGCCCAGCTAGTGGCTATTTAAAATGTAAAGCTCTGTTCATTTGTTGTCCCTATTCTTTGTACTTTGTAGGCTGTTTCTACATTTCCTTCTGCTCTTATTTCAGTTTTTTCTGGAAATCTAATTTCTGCCTCCGAAGCCTTTATTACCTTTTTCTTTGACTTAATTTGAAAAGACAAAATGAAAATTTCTCTGAGAAAAAATGTTATGAATCTTGTCTGGCTTTCTTCCCCTCAGTTTGGAAGTGGATCCCAGCAAAATGGACAGCATGGTTGAGGAGGAGATGTCTCCAGAGGAGATCCTGGCCCAGGCTCAGGAGGCAGCGCAGAAAGCCAAGCACGCTCTCACCACCCGCAGGCCCAAGACTGATGTGAGTTGCCTCCATTTTTTACTTCAGTGCCAGGTCATTTTTGCAGGACCCTGTTTTTCCAGGGTTTTCTTCTATTGTGTTCAGGCTTTCAATAAATATTTGCTGATCTAGATTCCCACTTTAGTAAGCTATTGAAAAGTTGTGTGGAGTCTTTAACAATTAAATGATTATGAAAATATTGTGTGTTACAGTCCTTTTAATCTAATTCTACGACATTTTTAAATACTAACCAGTTGCTTTTTACAGGAAGGGATTTCTGTTTTCAATTCCGAGATACTTGAAGAGTCCTTGTTTTTTTAATTCATAATTAAAAGTGTTCATGCATTCATGTTGATACCTGATAAAGCTAAGACAAATTGAAAAAACAAACAAACTGCAAAGCTTGCCACTTGATTTTTTTCTTTTGGTTTTACAGTTAGGATTTCTTCGCCAAGAAGAGGATGGTACAACATCAATGACTATTTTGAATCCATGGAATGATGGAACAGGTGGGTATAGATGACAGTGCTGTTTGATGAACTATTTCTTCCAATTTTCTTTGTATTACCTTCTGTATAACACGGAAACCTTTTGGTAGTAAGTTAAAGAACAGCTAAGTGCAATCAGAATTTTTAGCTTTCTTTCAAAGGATTGAATGGTTGCTTTTGTTTCTTTCCATTACGCATTTGTCTGTCTCTACATAGTTCCAATTTCTTACATGGTATTGGTTGGTGGTTTTTCCTTTTTGTCCTGAACCACACGACAACATTTGTGTTAATTCTTTACCCTTTCTGTCATGGAAATACAGCGTGTACTTTTGTAACATAAATTGATGAAAAATTAGATTTTTCTCAATGCGGTCTGAAATTTGACCCTGGACAATAGTGATCTTGCGTAGGTATGCCATGAGCTTTGTTTTGTGTCTTCCTCAGTGAGTTCCACTCAGAAAGTAATTAGTCTTGGAGATTACATGGGCAAACTGAAAAATGGCTCAGGAACTCTGTTCAAGTTTAAAGAAGACAAGAGGAACAAAGTTTGTCCAGGTAAGACTTTTTCCACCCATTAAAAAAATGTTTATTGTATGTTTGTTGGGTTTTTTAAAAGATATTCCAGGGGGCTCTCGTGGCCTAGAGGTTAAGGTGTTGGCCTCTCATTCAAAGGTCCCGGGTTCGAATCCGGGTAGCAACCAAAAAATTTTCTTCTCTAAAATTGTCTCCTTTCACCTCCTTTCCTTCTCTCTTGCAATGTTCTGTTGTCTGCTTTCATTTCCACTTTCTGCCCCCACCCCGTCACCTCCTTTGCCCCCTCCTCTGGGCTCCTGACTCTTTCTGCAGCCTTTGTACTGCTACTCCTTGGCTCCTCCTTACTGCTGTCTTTCTGCCACACCCCTGATCTTCTGGTAGGAAGGAAAGATCTACATCTAACCTTCTCAGACAAGGGCGAAAAATCTCGGAGGGCCCGTGTGCTAGTTGCGCATATTAAAGATCCTTTGGTGATCTAAAATCGATAAGAGTAGGCTTCGGCCGCCACCCGGGCAAAATTCAAAATTTCCTACCAACTGAAAATATTAGGTGTGTCCCGCGCGCTCATATGACCTTATGCAGTTGCGAGCGCCGTAAAACGCTTTACAAAAACAAAAAACAAAAAAAAGAAAATATTCCATTGCTACTGAATGTCTTCTAACAATAGAAGATCAAATTAATTCTATGAACTGTTACTGCATTAAAAATAGATATCATATTTTTTTTATAAATGATTTTAAAAAAAAATAAAATTATTAACCTATTTCCTGCTGTAAGTCTTTTTTATGTGTCCCCTGAGAGGAAAATTGTTCTTACTGGTGTTAACTTTGGTGCCGAAATTAAATGCACATGAATTAGATTTGAGAGGGGAACAAAAATAGCTGGTTTTAGTTCTCCAAATAGGAGAACCCTTGAGTGTTGATTGTTCTGTGAGCTTCATATAGTTTTTATTTCCTGTTTTATAGTATATGTTGCATTTTTTTATATGTAATGTCAACATTTCTTCTTCTTGTTAGTCCAGTAGCTTTTGAGAATTTCCTTTTCAGTCCATTGCTAAGTTAAAAAAAGGTGGGTTTCTTGGACTTATTTTTATGTTCTGTTCTGTGGTGTGTGGTATTGTCTGAATATTTCTTGTTTAGTTCCATTTCATTAATTTTCGGTGATGTCCTTACATCATGCCTTTCCATATGACCAAGAAACTTTGCAGATAGTTTTTTAAAATTCTTCTTTCTTTGCTTTTCAGAGACATACCTCTGCTATGGTCCATTCAGCTCTCATGCCCCAGCCTATGATTCCTCCTTTGCCTCATGCACCAAAGAGGAATCTGACTTACTGCTTGGTACATATGGTGGGGAAACAGGTGTGCAGTACGCGAAAAGGTAAGTCCTTAACCGTAGGTCTCTCAGTCTTTGCCCAGATCATCTGAAAATGCTCATAATGTACACTAATGCTTTATATATGGCATTTTTTAACAGGTGGATCCTATGTTATTTTTGCTGCATTAAAATGTGTGCAGCTTTGTTAAATTTGTTCTGTTTTGATTTAGATTATGCAATTGAAATTTGTTTTGTTTTGATGTTGATTAGTTCTTTGTCTTTTGTTTGATAAGGGAGTGTGTTATTGGGTTCTTTATTTTCGAACAAGTAGCCTCCTGAGTTCCCTTCTCTAACACACGCGTTCTTACTTCATTGCTTTGAAAAAAATTTTTAATTATTTTTAAAGTGTTTTTATGCTTGTCTGTTAAACATAATGTATTATTATATTCAGTTTTCATAACCAAAGAATAAGAATAGATGGGTATGTTTTTTTTTTTGGTGTGTTTTGAATTTCTTTTTTTGTCGTTCAAAAATGTTTTTTTTCTTTTTTCACTGGCTTTTTGTGAAAATAAATGAATTTTAAAAGCTTTCTTATTTGTTTGTAGAAATGATTTCTGTAGTTTTGTTCAGAAGTGTATCATTATTTCCTTTCTGGTCGCTTCCTCAGTGTTCAGAAGTTTGTGGAGAATGCTGGAATCAGTGCTGTGGAAATGGTGGACAAGTTGTTGGATACGCTGACCAATGGTCAACACTCTAAGGCTCGACTGCGTCAGGAGGAACAAGTAAGAGAATGAAACTTTATCAAGTTTGAGGTCTGTACTTTGAACTAGTGGCTGGTAGCATTTGTAGTCAAACTTACACACCGTTTGTTACTCCGGTGTGAAATTTGGGGGATCTCTCTTTTGAGATCTGCTCGTCCTACTTCTTTCACGCGTTCCTGTTTTCCTAATCTGTTTTTGGCAAAGTGGGCTCGTTTACATTTTGAATGCTTATAAACTGGTTGTCAACAGTATTGTCATTTGGTCCTCACTGGTCATTGTGTTTTGTACTTTATAACATCTGAAAGTGTTGATAGTCTTAAACTCTGTAGTTTTGTCTATATTGATCTTTCATGTGGTCCATTTTCCTCTCATGTGATTTTTTATTGCCAACGGTTTTTGATGCTCTGATAATATGGTCTGCTCTTTCTGTTTTGGGGTGTTGTTATTAATTTTTATATCATACAGTGGTCCACTCTGTTCCTGGCCAAATGTAGTCTTTGTAGTCTCTTGGACTTCTGCTCAACAATGTTTCTCACGTTTTTTGTCTGCTAATGGATGCAATGTTGATTGCAATGAATATTGTTAGTTTCAATTTCACAGAAAAGACGAGAGGAAGAATTGGCCGAGAAAGCTCTTCAAGATGAAATGATAGCAAAAGCACAAAAGGTAAATTACTTCCAATGTTTTGATGATTCTTATTTATTTTTCAACGGAAATCTTGTTCTGTAGTCTTGACTCATTTTCACAATTCTTTTTCACTTGTCTTTATTGCACAATAGTACAGATGTTCAAAATATCTCCCATTTTACCATCTTGAAAACAGATTAAGGGCTATATTTTTTTGCACGTTTGGAATCTTTTTGTATGATTCCGTGAACTGTACATTCATGGGTGGGATTAGTTCATCCATTTTTTTAAAGCATGACACAAGTACTTTATCTGTGTCTTTTTCAAATCTTTGTTTTTTTTCCATGTCTGTCATCTTATCTTTCAGATGCAATACTGTATTATATATTACTACAGTGGAAACCTGATATAACAGGGATGGTGGGAGTAGAGAAAATGTCCTGTTATATCCGATCCTTGTTAAATCAGGAATGTAAGGAAAGTAAGCATTTGTGGACTAATCCAGCTGTACTTATTCATGGGTAGTTTCCTTTGCCACAAGTACCCACGAACAGGGGTTTTGGCACCAACTTTCTCTTTGCCTCCTTAAACCACACCAGAAAAAGCTTGGTCCACAGCAACTGCATCGGGTAGTCTCGTTTTCTTTCGATCCAGAGCAAACTTTTCATTTGAGTATGCTGCCACTATCTTCTCTCTATCCTTGATGATGGTGTGAATCGACCTTTGTGGAATGTTGAACTGACGACAAATCTCTACGCGTGGAGCTTGCTTTTTGTCAACAGCCTGGATTATTTCGTGTTTTTTTTTTGGGTCAGTTAAAAGGCATTTTCTCTTGCTCTTGACATCGTTGGTGACAGTAGACACATTATGCGTGCGTGTTTCTAGGTTTCGGGCTAGATCGAGGTCTGCAGTACACCGTGGCCCTATCTCGCTTCACCACGCCGTGTGTGCTTGCAGTGGCATGGTTTGCATGGGCTGGCTCCATCACTGCGTTACTCTCTCTCTCTCTCTCTCTCTTACTTTTTACACATTGTTAACAAGCCTTTGTCCCTGCTATAACCGGTTGGGCTCCGATGGGGCCCTGTTATTGCCGATAACTTTTAATAGAGACAAAGAGTAGGAAAAATCGGGGATTTAAAATATCCCTGTTATTACTGCATCCCTGTTATTACCGGGCCTGTTATATATGGTTTCCACTGTATATATATATGACTATGAGTCTGTTGATGTGCTTCTTTTTCACTCAAAGAAGTGACTATTGTACTTGTTGTGTGTCATAATGAAAGGTAAAGACTGATCAAAGTGGTCCCAGTCTTGTGGGGACGATATAAGACTGTCACTTGTGTGATTGTGGGTTCAATTAAAAGTCTCTCTGATTGAAAAAGTTGTATCAATAGGAAAGGTACTTTTCCGTATTGCTTCACTTCAGTGAGCTCTGACTGGGTACTTGGTAATCAATAGAGACTGTTTATTTACTTGAATAATGATTGTGTGTATCTAAATTTGTGTCAACTCTGTCTGTCAGAGAACTGAGATAATATTATGGTTTGAACTGTCTGGCCAAGAGTTCTGTTTTTTTTTTTTTACTTGAGTAAAGAGAAGCACATGGGCAGAGTAAAAGCCACCTAGTGTAAGAAACGAGCGAGTTAAATAGATAGGCAGACACAACTGAAGGACGGAAAAGGTGCAGGACATTGTGAAGGTTTAAGAGTCTCCCTCAAGAGTATTTGCAGTTAATCGGTTAAACCTTGACGTACCTGACTTTGTGACTGCTGTGTTACATCCGTTCTCCCTGGAACCTTTTACAGGCTGCGGAGGAAGCAGAACGTGCTGCAGCTCCAAAAGACCCTGTGCAGCACAAGCTCAATGAAACGGCAGCCATCTTGTCTGAACTGTCACAGACGCAGAAGGAGCGGCTGAGTCAAGACCCTCCTCCTCACCTCGGCTTTATCGCACAACCCTCCGACAAAGAAGCAGATCTTGGTATGTAAGATTCACAGGGTGACTGCCAGCGTGGAATCCGTGGGGAGGGGGGGGGGGGGGGGGGGGGGGGGAATTACCCGCGAATTTGAAAAAAAAATTGCAGGTGATCCGGGAATGCCCAGGGAATTTGAGGAAATCTGCATATTGCCCAGGGAAAGACCCAGGAAAATGCAGAGATGCCAACCAGTACGATTTTACGTATTTTAGTAAGATTTTTTGCCGAAAATACGCGAATACGACTTTTCATGAAAAAATACACATCCTGGAATGCGAAAAATACGAGATTGAGTAAACCTATCTCAAGTCCCATCTTTTGTCAAATCGCAGAACTGGAATATTTGAAAACCAAGTCCGGTGTGGTTAGCAAGTTTATTTTTGCCGGTCGCGATCGTGATATTATATTCGTT